GGCTCTGCTGCTGCCCCTGGGCCCAGGCCGCTCGCCCGTGGTAACGCCGGTGCCTCGGGGTGGGGTGGGGGCTGGGGGAGGACCGCCAGGCGGTAACGGGGAAGGTCCCTTTGCCTCTACGATTGGGGTGTGATGCAGGCTTAGAAAATGCTCAGTTACTCGTCGTCCGCCGTGTGTAGCTGGGGGAGCGTTAACTCTGAGGCCTCAACTCAAACCGATGGATTTAATGTCCCAGTGACAGTGTTGATCATGCTTGCAGGAGAGTTGTTGTGAGAGAAGCGTTGTTCGTGGCTGTATTTTATGTATTTTATTTGCAGTTGTGCTGACTTGTTTCTTTTTGGGGGGAACAGGGTTACAGTTCTAGCTGGAGCAACAAAGTGATCTACATGTGCTTCGCTGTCTGTTGGAAGAATGACAGATGACAAAGATGTACTTCGAGATGTGTGGTTTGGACGAATACCAACCTGTTTCACTCTGTATCAGGATGAGATAACTGAAAGGGAAGCTGAACCTTACTATGTGAGTATAGCAAAAGTAGTCACAGGTAGTCCAATGCCATAGTTATGTTTGTTTGTTTCCTTCATTGTCAGCACGTGTGCTACTACATGTTGTGGACAAAACCCCAACTTTTTTCTTCTTATTCCTGGTACATTCTGAAAGTAAACTGCATGACCACTCTGCATGATTTGCCTCTCTTCACAGCACGATCAAACCTTTAAGGTTGTTTCACCAGTGAGATGAACTTATTACAGATAATTAAGATCTGTAAAAATTATGAAAAAGTCAGCAAGTAAATAGCTAGAAGGAGGAGGCTCTACATGTACTCATGGTGAGTTTGTATGTTCTTGGGTAATGACCAGAGGAAGGGAGAGAACTTATTTCTGTAGCAAGGCAACATACAACTTTAGTCAGAGCTTTGTGTGATCTTAAACACTGAGATCGGTCATCTGTGTAACACAAACTCATAATGAACGCTGGCTCCAGTATTTCCTCTCATGGACATTTTCTGCTTGTTTTCTTTAAATGCTAGCAGTCATGAGAGAGAAGATGTAGGAAAGGCAGCTATAAATCTTGTCATATCTTATTCTACTCTTTCTGGAAATATTACTGGATATAAATTTTTTTTTTCTTCTGTGTTTAATAGCATCTTTATGTCGTCAGTTTCTGATTTACATGCGTGTTCAGTGGGTTTTTGAAACCTAATAAAGCATTAATGCTTTCCGTTTGGTGATGATAGTGCTTATCTTTCTCTGCTTTAGTTTTACCACTGGTAAAACGAAGCACTTTTACTTCATGAGGCTGACCTATTGCCAAATGCATTTGAGCTATCTAGAAGTCTCAGACTTTAAATTCTATATACTTTTTATATAAACGTGATTTGAAATATATGTGTATGTATTGTATAAGAGTTATGTGAAAGGTATGAGATTAAGAATGGAGATATGTGGTCTCAATCTGTTTTAACATAAGTATGGCAACCCTGAAACCACATTATCTTCATGGTGTGGCAACTTTCTAAACCAAGGAGATAGTTTTAAGCTGGTAGGTTTTCTTTTATTTACCCCGCTTACAGTGTGCACAAAAATTCTCAAGGCTTAATTTTCTATTTCTGCAAAATGTGGTTATTTGTGGATCACAATTCTGAAATGTTAGCTTCTTCCTTTTTTCAGGCCATGGTGGAGCTGATAATATAGCTTTGCTTCTTGAAGGGACCAAGGATAGTAAATAGTAAAAGGCAGAATAGCAATCAAGGTTTTAAATCATGGTTTCGTTCTCATGGTTTCAGACTGCATCTACGTTAATGTTTTTGTTCAGATCTGGAGTGCATTTTTGAAGCAAGTCTTCATCCTTTCCGCTTACTGTGCCCTGGTTGGCATCACACAGCAGTTTTATAGCCCACAAGCTGAATCATTTTCACGTGAAGCTGAAGTAGAAGATGTGCTTCATCTGCTAATGGGCATTTAGTGTATGGGATCAAACTGGAGTTAAATTGAAGTAAAAAGCATCAACCCCCCCCAAAATTGGAGTAAAAAAAGTGAATGTTCCCATCTCTTGACACCAGCTTTTAAGCTTTACGTGTCTCTTCTTGTCACACCTCAGTACTTGTTAATATGGATATAACATCTGTATTCCAAACTGCCTGCTATAAACGGGAAGGCTGCATGAGAGGGGAATTCTGGCTTCATTATGTTAAGAGGGGAAAAATAGCTTCTGCTCTGAGCAACTTGCTGTATGAAGATTGAGGAAGACGTAGACCTGGAGGGTGAGGGGTTAGAAAAACCACCCAGAATCTGTGTGATAGATTTCAGTTTGTTGTGAGTAGTGAGGCAGGAGACCCTTGTCTGTTAGGTGTATTAGCATTGCACAGGAGTGATGCGTGTGTGTATTATATTACGGCACTGCATGGGGCTAGCAGAGCTAATTTTAAATGAGCTTGTCTATCTTTTGGAAAGAGTAGTGACATCAGGACTAAGCAGCTCAGGTAAAACACTGTCCTGTTTCTTCTTACAGTCAAGCCAGGTAGGTTTCTGCAGAGTTACACTGGAAACTGATACCTCCATTTCTTTGGAGTGTTTCCTACAGATGCTTGTGTTTGGAGTGGAAGTGTAGTTACAAACAGCTAGGATGAACTACCTTTGTTGCTGAACTATCTGATTTTTCCCTAGTCCTAAAATAGTTATGACTTCTATTTTAAAATGGTATACTGTCTGTCTTTTGGTGCAAACAACAGTTAGAAATAAAATGTGTACAGGAAGCACAGTGCTCATTGCCTGAGATTTGTCAGGTGTGAAGAACAAAATTACAGCAGAAGGCAGTCTTTGAATGATACTCTGCCCAAGGGGCTAGCCTTCACTGGGCCACTCTTTAAGCTTACTCAGTGTCAAAAAGGTTGTTTTATTAAGATGTCTATAATAGTGAGCAACATGGAGCCATTCTGTGTTAGGATGCTTTGTTTCTTCATCCTGGAAGCATCAGTGATCAGACCAGTCCAGTTCCTATTAAATCTAGAATTTCTCTGTTTTACAATCTGTTTTGCATGCAGAGTGGTGTTTGGCTCTACAACAAAATCTGTGGAGATAGCTGGAGGGGTATTCTTTTTACACAACGATATATTGCAAGCACTCACTTAGGCATTAGGAGTTCCTTGCATTTCATTTAACCTCTACAGAAAGCATTCCTGTTTATTGTGATTAAATACTGTAGCAACACACAGTATGCAAAAGGAAGATGTTGTGGTTTGTTTAACTAAGGGGATAGCATGTTCTAGCCTGCTAGGATTTATTCTGCCAGGTAATGTATTTGGGATTTAATTTTGTTTTCTTAATTTAATGAGGAGGACTCCAATCTTATTTGGTTGCTCCCCTCTCTCCTCCCCTTGTCAGTTTTGTATAGATATTTCGGTTTAAGCTGAGCATATATGAATTGTGTGCCTGTCTTTCACAATTTCTTCCAAAGCTAGGGCTAGAAGTCATGTCAAAAGTGGTTGATTATAGTTGTGTCTCATTTTTAATCAAGAACTAGTACCTGTTTATTTTTAAAGGATTAAATAATTACATTGGGTGTGGCCATTGACTTAAGAATACAGATGTGAAGATGAATTTTAGGTTTTTTTTCATGTTCTCAAATGGTATTTTTTTAATTTTAGTACTGAGCCATTTGTTTATCTTGTCTTCATTACTGTTGCAATGGTCAGTCTGATCGCAGCAGGACATGAACATCTACTTGGCTTTATACCATGTACTCTGACTACTTTGAAGGAGTTTAGGCCAGCTTTTTGTTTTTATACTGAGTGGGAGAAAACTTACACAACTCATTGCTGGAGGGAAAGGCACCCAGCCTTGCTTAACATTTCAGGAATCCTTACTTGGTCTTGACACTTAAAAGCAATTCACCCACTGACTGCTTTAGACTTGGATCTTCTTAAAAGTCCGTCCTTTCTAGGGGACAAGAGAGATGTGGCTCCTGAGTCACAAAGCTCAGTTGAAAGTGGGGTTTTTCATTCAGGTTTCTTTGTTAAGAAATAACATAGCATGCAATATAGAAATAACATTGCATAGCGAGCGGCAAGCATTATACTTGTCTGCCATTGATCAGCAGGCAGCACGGCAGAGTCAGTTGCCAGAGACCTTGAATCAAAACTGGGATTCTCTTCTGTTTAATTCCTTATGTGTTATATCATGCACTTTCCTATTAGTTATTTTCTCTCATGCACTATTTACATGATAGCTATTGAATCTATGCTAAATGTGCATTCAGTCTGTTCATTAAAAACTTTGACACTACCTTGTCTGTGTATTTGCCCATGCAGTACTGTAGGTAGTTTAATTTATGATGGGCATTCTGACTCTTAGTGTATTATGTAGTGGTTTATCAGTCTTACATTCAGTTTGAAGTTTTTACATTACTTGTTGATGAGTTTGATTTTCATAGCATTGTTTTAACTTGCTGTTCAGTCTGCTGATAGAAGGACATTTCTCAAAAAAGAAAAAGAAGAAAAAGGCACTTTAGCAAATTTGACCTAGTGGAATGAGTTTAACTTGGATTAGTAAGTCTTGTCGTATGATCATGTGGGTTTTTTTCTTAATCAAGTGTTACAGCCCTAAACCAAGAATTGCTCTTATCACTGAATCACGAATGTTCATTCCCAGCATCTAGAAGTATTGCTGTAGGATGACCAAAGGCTGAAGGGGTATAGTCTCACTGGCCTGCACGGACTGGCTTAGGAGTCAGTAGCAGCGTTGCTTGTAGGAGAGGTGTCATTCCGGCTTTGCCTAAAAGGAAGGCTCCTTGACATGTGGCATTGGAGAAGCTCGTTAGTATCTAATAGTCTAGAAGGTGAACTGCTGTGTAGAATTCTGGTTTTCATATAGAGACCTGTCTAAAACAATTAACGTGATTCTGCTGTCAGAGGGATTGACTAAAGCCCAGCATATAGTTAAATACATTAAACTTTTTTTTTTTCCTAAATATTTGTAGTACCTTTCCTCTGGAAATACTCAGTAGCAGGATTTAAAAATTACAGGATTTCTGGACTAAAAGTGTTTTGTGTCAACTGGTGTCTCTCACTGAGTGTAGATAACTGGTGGAGAAGGGATACTAAAAGTGGTAACAAAATGAAAATGTCATTAAACTATGCTTTTAAAGGTCTCACTTAACAGATTTAGTATACTTCTAAATCTGTAGGATAATTAAAGCTAGAAAAGAGATAAATTGGATCTTTTCATGTCTCCCATGGAAAGGGAAGACTGTAGTAAGGTAGAAGAAGTGGGAAGACTGAAAAAAAGAGTTCAGTAGGTGCTGCAGATGCTCAGCATCTCTGAAAAACAGGCAGTTCCTGTTAACCTGATTAACTGTTGGGCTTTGTGCTCCGAAGAGGCCCACTGGGAGTGCTGGCCACATTCTGTTAAATTCAGTTAAATGCTGTTTGGTTATTGTCTGTGATCTCTAATTGTGTTGAAATAGAAACTGCATTGTTCTTTTACACTGCAAACTGAAGTAAAATATTTTATGGAGGAAGTTACTTGTGCAGCTTAAGGGGTTATGTCAAACACTGTTGCAATCAATAATGCTTTAATGTATTTATCAATTCCTGTATGTCTGTGCCACATGCAGCAAGTTGGTTTTTGTAGCAGTCCAAATGGGTCTCATATCAGAATATACCAGCATTAATTTAACTGTAAATATAACACAGAAATAATATGGAATTATTACCAAAAATATTTGGGTTTGTTTGGAATAGCCTGGAGTATATTGTCTCAAGAACAATCAGTATAGATATGTGGAGTTGGGTTAAAGGATGAGATTATATTGTCATTCAAGTCATTGAGGTACCAAACAATTCTCACTTGAGTGTGTACATTCACCTTTTAAAACTGAAGGCTGTGTTTAATCACTGTGCTGAATTAGACTCCTATGAAGGCAGGTAGAAACAATATGATGATGGCAATAAGAGCAACAGATGGAAAAAGAAAACCATACGGTACATAAAAGATAAGTGTTAACTGACTTGATGACTGATAGTGGTGACTCTTGATCTTTTGTGGTTTTATATAATCCTAGAATTTAGTTGTTTCACAGGTGTATGCAGATTAGTGACCTAATGCAGATCACCTAAAAGACAAATCCATTCTCTTTCGTAAGAACTTACTCTCAATTTAATCTTCATACTTCATTGTGAATCTGAAATTCTGGCTGTGATACTAAAATTTATTTATAAATATTATCTAATTTATAGATGAAAGTGTGTTGGAGACATTCTGGAAGAATGTTGCAGCAGAGATCAAGTCTTCTGTCAGGAAAAATATATCTTCACGTAGTTTGGGATGTGTGTACTACAGACATTCACTTAAGTCTAGCATTATCCATATACTATAAAGAAACTATTTTAAGAGACAACACTGGTTATGAGGAGCACTGGAAACCCAACATTTCTCTAATTATGCAAAATATAATTTATTTCTATTTATTCCTTAGACCCATCTATTTTATTAATAATTAGGAAATGAAAATAAATTTACAGGATGAGTAAGATTCATTTAAAATGTCTGCGCCAAAGCTAAATGTTATTTTACAGGGAAGTTAATATTTTCTCACTGGGATACTCAAAGGCACTGTTCATTAAAGCTTATGGACTGATTCATCTTAAGTAAATGTGCTCTACAGTCAGCAGTCACTACATTGACTGCTGCAGTCTGCTTAACCACTCTTACTAGGTGTGAGATTTTAAAAAAATGGGAGGGGAGGGCGTTGCAAATAAAAATAGCACAGCATTCTGTTTTGGATAGTGCGTAACAACACACTTGATAAAAAAAGGTAGTGTACTAGAAAGCTGTAAGAAGGTGCCTTGTTTCAAATGATAAAATACTGACGGTTTTCTTTCTGATTTTAGTAGCTGGGCAAAGGTTAAATAGTGGAAGAATCATAGTAGGCTTGACTAACATGTTGAATTGGCAAACCCAGTGCAAAGAAAATGGAAATTGCCAGCTACTGGAAATACAAAACACGTTTAGAAATGAAACCCTTAAGCAGCTAGTTTTCATCCTTTGGGTTTGTTTGTGGTGTGGTGGTTTTTTGGTTTGGTTTTTTTTTTTAAATTTTGTAGGAATTTCCATTTTGAAATAATAGCTGATAACACAGCTTCTCATTATATTCAAGAGAAGTTAGAACATGTTCCTATCTGTTCATATGAAGACGGTTAAGTACAGAGAATCAGAAATTAAATTCCACTCTTAACCCTCCCATCGAAAGAATCAAGAACTTATTTTTTTACTTTTTTGGGGGGGAGGATTAGTGTATTGGATACTGCTGTTCTGCATCTTTTGAGTACATGATTCTGTAGCCTTTTGTTGACTGTTAGGTAAACTGTCTGAAAGACATCTTACCTTAAGAGGGAGAGGAGGGGGAAGAATGCTGACTGAATTTTGGATATGAAAATGCATACTTGCTACAGATTTTTATTAATTTAGTAGATTTTCTGTATACTTAAAGCTTCTGTAACTTTTTTCTTTCAGTTGCTTTTGCCAAGGATAAGCTACTTGACACTGGTAACGGACAAAGTGAAGAAACACTTTCAGAAAGTTATGAGACAAGAGGAAGTTAGTGAAATATGGTTTGAATATGAAGGTACACCACTGAAATGGTGAGTTTATTTAACTTTGTACCTGTACTCAATTTATCATGTAGAGAGTTATCAAGTTCAGTACAGTGTCAGCACTTTTCCGAAACTAATCACTCCACTGGGTTTCAAAGATGGCAAAAGAGGAGGAGAGTAAGAAAAGCATGTCATTTGGGAAAAACAGAAGAAGGTTTAATGTTGAACATATTTTTGATTATTCTGCTTGTAGTTACTGTATGTATAAGGCAGAGGTTGTGCTGCACTTACTGGTTTTGTTCTGGTTGTTACTGTAATACAAAATGCCTATGTTTTTGGCTTTACAGTTTTTTGCAGTAGAATTCCCAAATAAATCTTTGTTTAGCTTATTCTACCTTCTTAAAAGATGCCTAATTTCACAGGTAGGAAGTATTATTTCTGGAGTCTGAGTGCAAATATGCTTGAAAATAATAAAACATGCATAACCTTCACTTTTCACTGGTGTGATATGTGCTTGCACTGTAGAACAGATAATCTAATACTGATGCACAAGTGCTTGTTGAATTCAATTAGTTCAACTTTATTGAAATAATTGCTGTTGGTTCTGTTTTTGTTCTGTCATATGGTCTATTAGAAGTATCTTTAATGAGAAGTTGGGGAATCAGACTGACATTGTTTCACTTACTTAGTTTTCATAAATACCATTAATCAGATTTTGTTTCTTTCTGTTTCTGCCATAAAGGGTTTTAAAGAAAACATTTTAAGACCTGCAATGTTTGCTAGCTCTCTACAGATAGCATCAGCTCTCCAGAAAGTATTTAATATTTTGAATAGTAAAGAGATTTTATATCTTTATTTCCTGTATCATAACAGGAAAGGAAACTAGTAACTGTTATAGCTTCTTGAGCCTGGATTGTCTTTCAATTAGCAAGCATCATATCATGGAGTCCCTTCAGACTTGGTGATGCAGTAGATCTCTTGAAAATATGGGAATAGAAAAGCATAAAAACTAGCTTTTTTTTCACTTTTTAAAACTGGCTGGCAAAACCAGCTTTAGACATCTATTTAAATTATCTGGAATTTAACAACAATTGGTTTCTTGTTGTGCCATAGTGACCTTGAGTCATAGATACTGTCTAAATAAACAGCAAGATACCAAGATTGTCCTGGCGTGTTCATAATGTTAGGTAGATAATGGAAGGAAACTTTGTAAGTTTTTTCACTGAAGTTGTAACAAGAAAGGAGAAAGGCTTTTTCCTTCAACCAGAAATAGATCTGTGTTTTCTGTAAGTTTTCAAATCCCATGATGTTAAAAAAAGTTACAGAATATAGGTGTAGAGTAAAAATATAAATTGTAATTCTAAAATTAAGTGAAGAGATGGGAAACTCATTGAAAATTGAAGAGAAAATGAACAGGGCAATTATGATCTGCTGATTAAGGCTCTGATCTTTCAGAAAATCTAAGCATATTCTGCCAGGAACAGCTCTACTTATTTCAGTGGAATTGCTTTTCTAAGGAAAATGCTATCTGCAAACCATTATTTTAGGAGAATGGTAATCCCCTAAATAGCTGAAGCTTGTTCCAGGGAAGATCCAAATACCGGAACTGAGAATTAGACTGAGATAGAAGTTCGTAGATTAAGCATTAATGCTCACTATTCTTTCTCTTTTTACGTATAACTTCTGTATTCAGAATCGAAGGAACTTGCTAATTACATTGCTTATTCTAATTATTTACTTTGCAAAATGAGGTCATATTGCTTACAGTCTGTGTGGTTTCGTACCTGGTTGGGATGTAGCGTATCTCCATTCACTTGCAGCAATTCTGTTTTCCAGTGAAATTTTGGAGAAAGTCTGAAACAGTTTCAACTTCATGGTCTGCAGCACTCAGGCCAGGCTCCCAATGGGAGGATGAAGCTCTCCAGATCTGGAGTTACAGGGCCCTGGGGCCTCCCAGTGTGGCTATTGGGGCAGGGGAAGATGGTCGTCTTCCCTGCAGGAGGTGTGTGCTGGGGGAGGATCTGTGTCACCAAGTTAAGGAGCTGCAGGAAGAGATCATCAGAATGCAGCATCAGAGACTACAAAAGGAAATGGATCAAATCTTCTCAGAGACCCCGCAGATACAGGAGCCTAAACCTACAGCTACATTGAAGGAGATGCAGGCAGGGTCTGCGATTATGAGATTGGAAAACAGTCTCTTCAGATGCGGAAGGGCTGGAGGCTTGTGACTTCTGGCAGCAGGAGGAAGGCTCCTTCTCTACCTACATTTCTATAGCTCCGGGATAGGTTCAGTGCTGTGGTTGCAGGTGAGGGACTGAAAGCTCTGTCCAGTGATGCCTCTGAGGTGGCTGAGCCTGAACTGTGCAGGGGCACCAGAAGGAAGCGGTGAGTGAAATCAAAGGTCTGCATTCTGCTTACTCTCCTATATCAGTCCCTCCAGGATCTTGAACTCTGCCATTTCATGGTCACTACAGCCAAAGTTGCCACTGATTATCACATCCAGAACTATTCTGTCTTGTTAGTAAGTAACAGATTCAGGTGCCGGTCAGCTCTGGTCCATCCAATGCCTATATCAAGAAATCTTGACTACTTGTGTCCCACCATGTTGCTTTCCCAGCAAATGTCAGAGATTAACAAGAACCAGGGTCTGTGATGCAGAAACAAGATTTCAACCAACCTGTTGCCTGTCCTATTAAGTTTCATACAACTAAGCCACTCCCTCACATGGAAGACAACCCTCTTCCCTCATCTGCCCTGCCTGTCTTTCCTGAGCAGCTTGCGTCCGTCCATCCATCCACAACAGCATTCTAGTTGTACAAGCTGTCTCACCCTATCCCAGGTAGCCCAACACTGTCACAGGTATGTCACTGCCTGTGGAGCTCTAGTTTCTCCTGCTTGTTTCCCAAGCTGTGTGCATTTATGTACATACACTTGTGGTAGACTCTTTTCTACACTCTTTTATCATTTTGAGATCTCCCTTGTAGCTGTCACCTTTCACAACTTGCTTTCCACCCATGTCCATTAGTTTCTACTTGTCTGTGGGTTGTTATTCACACTCCTGTGTTTATGGTCTAAAGCTCTCCTCACCAGGCTGGCTAACCTGAAGGCAAAGATACTTTTGCCCCACTTAAACGGATTCCATCTCTTCCCAGCAGTCCTTTATTCTCGAAGAGTGTCATGTTGCTGTAAAAGCCAAGTCTGTGTTGTCACACCAGCTGCACAACCAGTTATTGACCCACAGTTATTGACCAGCATTCACGCACCTCTGAGCCTTCCTCCTTCAATGGCAAAATTGTGGAGATGTCACCTTGCCCCTGGAGCTGTATACTCACCCTTGATACAGTCAAGGGTTCCCTTGCAGCACTTACATGATATGCTTATGATTTGTGCTCGTGTGGTTGAACAGCAAAGGCTAATAATCCAAACACAGGACAAATCTTGCCAGTCTGCCTGCAACTTCTTAACAAGCAGCAAACCTCTGCAGGTAACAAGTGAGATTGGCAGATGGGGGAGAGCTCTGTCTCCTGTAGGAGGTACTCTCCTACAGCTATGACTGCTTCCTTGTGGTGTGGACGTGCTGTTCAGGCTGCTCTGTTGCTTCCTCAGAACTTCCAGCCCCTTGTCTGCCACTGAGGCACCAACTGCAGGTGGAGAAGGAGCCTGCCTTCTCTTGCCAGAGATCACAAGACTCCAGCCTTCCCCATCTTGCAAGTCTCTCTTTGCCACTTCAATGCCTGCAGACCCTCTTTCTGTGCAGCTGGGAGTTCAGGCTCTCCTCTCTGCAAGGTCTCAGTGCAGATACCATCAATCTCTGTCTTCCCTGACGCTGTGCAGCCTGCTGACCTCTTGCAGCTCCTTAACTTGGTGACGTAGCTCCTCCTTCTGCAAGGTCTCGGTGCAGATACCATCAATCTCTCTTCCCTGACGCTGTGCAGCCTGCTGACCTGTTGCAGCTCCTTAACTTGGTGACGTAGCTCCTCCACTAACACCCACCTCCTCTAGGCAAGGACAGTTTCTCTGCTTGCCCCAACCCTCAGGAGAGGTCCCAGGCTCCCCTGGCAGCTTGAGACCTGGAGAGCTGCATCCTCTCTCAGGAGCTCTGCCTGAGTGAAGGCCTCTGATATGCCAAGGGTGGTTTCTTCAGCAGATGCTAGAAGATGACACCCTGTAGCTTGTTACCATCCTGTCTGAGCACTTGCACGTGGCCTTCAGCAGAGTTTCTGTCCTCTTTCTGTGGGTTGTGCTCTAGCCCTGGTAGTTGCATAAGTGTCTCTCTAGTACCAACTTGATGGATGCTTGACCCTTCCTAATCTGGAATCAGTGGAATACAAAAGGTCAAAACACCATTTGGTCAGGCATAGCTGATATATTGTTTGAAAATGCTACATGTTTGCTTAAAAGATCTAAGAAAAACTTATTTCTTATGAATACTAACGGAAAAGGTGAGACTGTTTTCCGATGCAGCCAAAATTTCCTTCAGTGAGACCATTTATTCATAGAAACACCTAAACACCAAATTTTGGGCACTTGATATGCTTAGTACCCCAGACGGTTCTAGAGCATAGTATTTTTTGTCCTGGATTTATCAGTTCATGTCACATGTTTTACTGAATTACCACAGTAAATTATTCTGGTTGGAAAACAACCCACCAACTCATGCTGTCACTTTTTGTCCTGGGTTCAGAAAGAAATTGTTAGAAAAGTAGTAATTAATTTTCCTTCCTGTCTATCTGTCACTTTCAAAAGGATTTTAAGTACTTAACATGGTGTTTTCCAGGACTTCTCTTGCACTCTGAAATCACCTTCTGTATAGTAATAAAAGCAGTAATAAATTGACAATGGCTGGAAGTCAGGGTGCTGTTACACTTCTGTAGATTGAAGATTTTCCAGAACTAATCATTATTCTAGCAACTTGTACAAAAATATTTGCAAACTCTTAGACACTTTCTCTTTGATATTTTTCCCATTATTTCCTTTGAGAAAGTTCAGCACAGTTTTCCTGTCCTTGGCTCTCACTCTAGTTAGGACCAGTTTGATTTCAATAATCCGATATTTTTTTTTCAAAATGATACCTTTCTGGGCTGAATGTTTCCCTTAGTTGTTGTTCTGTTTGTTTTCTCTTTTCTTGTTGGGGGGAGTGGAAATCTGTAAAGGCTCTCTTGGGGTTTTTTTTTGGTTTGGTGGATTTTTTTGTTGTTTTTTTTTTTTAATTCTCTTGGTTGCTATAGGCTTGAGAGGGCATTTGTGTATTTCTTTAATTGCAATGTGTATTTTTCAAATAGAAGTTCAGGAACAGCATTGAAGCAGTACTACTGGAAGCAAGATCTTTAATGGGGGAATGCTGGCTCATAGCACCAGGTAGATACATGCTGAAGAATGGAGTGAGGAATGTTGGGGTTTATTATTCTATGTACTGATTGACAAGTCCTCTTTTCTTCTCAACTTCTCTGTTTCTCCATTAATTCCCTATCCTGGTTAAGAAGCCAGGTTTTAGTATAAGGAAAATATAAAGAATAGCTTTAGTATTGTTATATGGAGTGATATTGTTTCCAGACTCTTAAAAATGTTTGTAGCTGTATCTCAAAAATAAGTGAAGCACAGCAATAGGTACAGGCATTACTTAAGGCTTCTGTTGGCTTCAGATTAAATGCTAGTGTGTAAGAACTAGAATTTGAAGCAGGACATGTCTTGTATCTCAGGATTGTTTCACTCCTTTTGTGAACTTTACTCTTAAGGGAAGGCAGTGCTTCTGAATAGAAAACTATGTCTCTCATGGTCTACTGTCTTCATTAATCTCATGTGTTCTGCTGTAGAACAAAATGAATCTAGGGCTGGCTTCTTTCAAAATAAAACTCGTCTATCAACTGTGTAAAGCACAAGGATTTTACTGAAGAAAGCTTGAATACCTGAACTTCATTTTTTAATCTAAACTCGGTAGAAAATATAGAGGTAGGCCAAGAACTGATGCTTTTCTTTTTTTCTCTTTTTTTAGCAATCTTTTTTATGTATAAGTTGAAAATAACTGAAAGTTGTGGTTTGTGTTCATCTAATTATTATCAAAGGAAATCTGATTTTTGTTACTGAGCTTACCTGGAAGGCCACTCTTTCATGGAACTCTTGCTCTATCCCTGTTCAAGTACTCAAGACGTGATTGGTAGTTAGTAGTAAAAAGTCTTAGCAGTAAAGACTTGAGCATTAGCAGTGAATCAGGATAAATCTGGATATGCATTATCTGTATTCTTTATTCCCTTTATCAGGAAAACACAGTTCTAGATACTTTCTTGATATTTCCCCCTATTCTTTCTTTTAAGAAGTTACAAATGCAATAGGTAAGTTCAAGAATTGTAGTACTGTTTTGGTTTGGTTTTTATTTTGCTGTTGTGGTGACTTTGTCTTAGCTTTGGGGTTAGCTCACCCGTAGAGGGTGCTAAAGCACCATTGTGTGAGAGTTTAGCAGGCCAGGAAATTGGCTTGGCACAGGTGCTTTTAGAGCAATGCTCTCAGTTGTTGGTCTCTGGACTTTCAAAACTTATGTACGTGCTTGGCTCTGCGTCCTGTGATCAGTCCCATTTCATTCAGTGAAGCTACTGAGTTTACAGTTAAGTGTGTGTTTATCTCTTTGTAGGATGACAAGCTAGTAAGGCTCTTCTAGTTAAGATTTTTGAAAGATAAGAGAATAGAGCCTGGGATGCAAAAAAAAAAAAAATTTTTTTTTTTTAATCAAAAATCTTGCCAGTGTCTGCTTGTGAGAAAACTGCAGAAAGACCTTTTCAGAGTGTCTGCGGAAGTTCTGTGTATGTGGTATATATTCCTTATATTGCTGGAGGCTGTATCTTCTAATGAATTTAAAGGAGACAAAGCTATAAGACAGAAGTGAATATTTGGAGGAAGCAGCTTCTTTGTGTAGCTCCTTTAATCCAGAACACCACTGAAATAAAAAACTCCAATTAATATTTTTTTTCCCCTTTCCATTCCTTTTAATTTGATAGTAAAGATGTGGAGTTCATCTTGATCTGTCCTCTTTCAGTTCTTTTATAGATATGTCATTTTTTTCTCTTTCCTACTTATTTTCCACAATGACATCGGGCATGTGGGAGAGAGAAGAGATGTTAAGGGTCAATGTGGTGTAAACCCACAGTGTTTAAATATCTGAAAGCTTGTATACTTTTCTTTATCAGACCAGCTATTCCTACCATTATCAGTCTTTTTAACTAAAAATGCTCTTTTGAAGGATTCCACAGAGTAGCTGTAGGCTGCTTACACTGTTGCAAAACTAGCAGTGTTTTGTGGGCACAGCTTGGAGACCACTGGTTTAATACCAAACATGTAAATTCCAGACTTGATTCTGCCAGAAACTGTCAGTCTTATACCTGCCTGTATAACTTTTTTGAATAAGCAATAATAAATGTTAATTGTGGAAGTCAAACAGCTAATTTTTTTTAATGTAAATGCAGGTATGTTAACTGTTATATGTAGAATTAAATGCACGGCTTTTATGTTCATTTAATATGTCTTGATTTTTAGGCATTACCCAATTGGTTTACTGTTTGATCTCCATGCATCAAATACAGCCCTTCCTTGGAGCATCACAGTGCATTTCAAGGTAAAATTGAAATATACCTTTAGTTAAGAACAAGTGAGCATAGGATTATGTGAAATTTGGAAGCTAGGAAAAGGTTTCATAATTATTTTTTAAATAAGTGAATGGTATGATTTGAAGGGGAGAATTCTTCAGGACTCATCTAAAGTTTTCTGTAAGTCTACAGCTGTTTTCCATGATGTTATATGTGCTTTCAAATGACTTTCCTTTGAAAACAATTGTATTGTAATCTGAAAATCCAAAATTTATTTTTCAAGATAAATTATGAGACTATGTCAGTGCAATTGTGTGGATATATGGGAAGAACTTTCTGTAATGTTTTTAATTTGGTCAGCTTGAGTTGACTGAAGATTGGGAAGATTGAGAAGTGCTCATCCTTTTAGCTACATGAGCATGGGTGTGAGATACTGTAGAAATCCTTGAAGTCAGGGAATGCTGTTGTACTTCATGTGGGTCCCCGTTAGAGAACTGAGTGAAGTGAGTTTGGTCTTGTGACAGCTTAGTCACAGGAGAGACATTATTTTGATTACACATTGTAAAACCATTAGGCATGACTTCATAGCACTACTGATCTTTGCTCAGAAGAGTACTTGTGCAGGTTTAGCTTTGGTGCAGGATTCTTTCATACTCTGAAATGCATTGAGATGATAATCCCATGTATGTTTTGAAGTCAGAATCACAACTAGAAATCATAGTATTAACTTTGAAACTTTAATTTCTCCATTGTAAAATAAACAATGCAAGAGGAAAAGTGATCCAAAGGAAAACACTAGGCTAATAGGCTTGACTTTAGTGTGTGAGGTTTGAGGTGAAATGAAAAGCAATACTGGGAAGCAGTTGTGTTGAATGTTTTTATTGAAACAGTTCTTTAGAAAAGGTCTTTAGAAGGTGCTTTAGAAAAGGTCTTGCTAACAGGAGCAGTCTGGTTCTTTTTGGAAGTATGCACTTGAAATCATATATTCTTATGATATGTATTTCCACACATTGAAACTTAAAATGACTGAATGCATGAATCTGAAGTTGGGGATGTTTTTGAAACCACTGTAATTGCTACACTTCTGTCTGATATGTGTCAGAGAGCTGGGATGAAGAAACTTCCAGAGTGTTTTGAAGAAACTGTAGGGCGTCAAGTTTCATAAATCATGATTTAATTGTTACACATTCTGAGTGCTCTGGGAGATTAACAGTGGCAGTGTGTGGATGTAGCCATCCCAAAGTAGAGCCATCATGAGAAATAAGTTGCAGCACCACAGTACTTTTCGATTTCATTTAGTAATGTAAACTGACTTTAATATCCTTATATTGCTGCTTGCCAAAAGATTAGCTAATTTGAGTTTGTCTCAAAGGTATACATTAAAGATCAGCAGAAATAATTTACTGCTAATGCAGTATTATTTTAAAAGCTGATGTAATTTAGTTTTTAAAAATATATCACCTTGGATTAAGCACCTGCTTAATCTCTCTTCCTGTTTTTGATGTAATCTGAAAGTGTATTTAAATAAATTTCTCTTAATCCTTAAGGTCAAAACATAAGTGAAATATATCAAAGTATGTAAAAATATTGAAGGCATTTTCATGTGTTATAGTTTTTTACAGCTGAATAGTTTAGTTGCGGGATTCCTGCCTAGATTATCTTTTTTTATTTGTGTGTAGTTTTGAGCTTGAACAGAGTACTAAGGTCTGAGCATCATGAGAAGCCATAGTCTAGGAAGTTGCTTTTGTTACCTATGTGTGGCTTTGTGGAGGGGAGGGAAACTCTATCCCTTCCTGTTAAACTCATCTCATGCGACTCTGTGGCATGCTTAGCACTATTCATGTTCTCAGCATGGTTACAAACTCTCTAGGTTTTGGGCAACAGAACTTCTCTGGAAATGGCAGCAGGAGAGGAAACTGGGTGTGCCAGGGGAAAGGCTAATGTCCTCCCTCTGCTGAAGCCCTTATCTGCTAGTGCCTGCCTCTCCACCCAAGACCTGATGTAGAGGAGGGGAAACTTGCATCTGTTTTTGTATAACGACAGTTGTCACCTTGGTTTTCTTAGCTCAAGATTGGATCAGGTGGAGTGAAAAAGAAGTGTAGCTTGTGGACAAATTGCAGAACTGCTGGGAGATGTTGTGGAAGCCAGAAGTATAAGTGAGGATTTTTTTAAAATTAATCTTATTGGGGGGGAAAAAAAAGACCACTGATGGCCACTAAACACAAATACATGGATGCTCCTCCTGTCACTGGATATGTTTCTTATGGTTTTTAACACCATATTATTGGTGTAGTTTTCTGCAAACGTGGTCTAATGCAACTAGACTGTCACAGTATAAACAGATGTTTTGTGAGCTAGAACTAATAGATAAATATGGGTGGAATGGAGTTCTGAAACCAGACTGTTGAAATTACCTGTGATGTATTTGGAAGTTTTATGTGAGAGGTCATTTAGTGCTCCTGCTGTACAGATGATACCTACTTCTTTATGACCAAGTTTATGCTGCAAGTGTCTACTGGTATGTGAAATAAAATGAGTACTACTTGAGCTTTCTAAGAAAATAAAGAGTCAAGTCTTCATATCTTTGAAAGAGAAGTTATTGAACATGGAGGGAGTAAGACATCACCAGTAAGAGTACTTGAATTAAAGCTGCTTATGGGATTTGTTTAAACTTTCTGCAAATCTCATAGTTGTATGGCAATAGTTGTGGGTACAAGTTAATGATTGTCTCTCTCTTCAGGGAACTGAATAAAGTTATTTGCATTTCATCACTGTTTCCTCAAGTAGAAAGAAGGCAAGTTGAATTAAAAAATACAAGTATACATGTTCTATATTTAAGTATAAAACTCACTATTCTGTGCCCTAGTTTATAAATCAGTGGGGATGCCATACTTTCTGTTGGTAGTCTTATGTAGGTGAAACTGTTTCATATGCCTCTTGTAGATGCAGCAGGGTTGTTTTCTAAGTTACCACTTTCATGTTTTAGGTTTTTCAGCGTCTACTCATAGTACGGCATAGGAATGTGTCAGTAGAAAAGAGTCGATAGCACTGAGATTGTCGGAGTGTTTTCCAGTCTTCCACAGTGTTATTCCTTAGAAGCTGTGAAAATTTATCATGCCACACCTTTGTACTACTGTGGCTAGATCCTTTCCACTAGCATAGCTAGCTTTGACCAGTTTTAAATATCTCCTTGCTGTTCTGCAGACCACACTGTGTGTGTTGTCTGGAACACATCCCCAAGGAGTGACATTCCCTGTAATTTGAAATTCATTGGAAGAAAGTCAGCAGGGAGATACCTACCTGTAGAAAGACAGGAATGTCCAAAAAAAGACCCTGCAGTTCAGTGTATTTCAATGTAGGTGCAACAAAACAGTTGTTGTGACAAAACTGTTGTTTTCATAAATTTAGCTAAAACTTCAGTTTTTAACTGTGAAAGTCAATTTCTAGGATCCTGTATTACTCTGCATTAGGTACCTTCCACTGCTTCATCTTTTTTTTGAGGGATGCCAGTGTCTCACTTTAAATTCTTGCATGAAAAGAACTTTTTTGATCTTGAAGTATGCTATTACTGACTGTTCTATTCTTCTGGATTGGTTACCAGACTTTACTTTTTTTTGTTTGAGCAAGTAAGTTAAACTTCTAAAAGTGTTTTACAGGCCTATAGAGATGTTCGCTGGAGAGTAACCATCCCAGTAATGTGTTCCATTCATCTTGGGCCCAATTATGCTGAGACACTCAGCTTTGTAGGGGAGAAAGGGAGCGAGCGCTGCCCTAAAAGAACTTTCCTTTCTCTTCTATCCTCTTTAATGTCTTTATTATGAGATCCTTATATGAGAAAGAAGCTTTATCTCTGTCCTTAAATTTCTAGTTAGCTCTACATACATCAGTCCTAAGTAACAATAGCGCTCCCTTTAAGTTCAACACCAAACTGTGTATGCTTCGGTGGTAAAGATATTAGCAGTCTTTTCTTGCCTTTATACTCCTTTATACTTCTGGTTTTGGAAGATAGCCGTCATTTTGATCCACAGTTTCCAGAGTCTGGGTTCATTCCATAAGGAGGAATCGCAATACAAAATTCCATTTTTTAATTTCCAACTCTTTTCAATAACCTAATGAGGAGGGAACTACCATTCTTGTCCTCAGAATTCCCTTCAGGTAAGGCAATCCCCAGCTCCCTTTCGTATTGCCAACTGTTAGTGGTTCTTGGATATTTTGAGTATGTAGTTTGAAGCAGTTCTTCACTATTTTCCTGGCTTTATGTGGAGAAGGAAAGTATGGGTTTTCCCAGCATTATATTGCTCCTACTGTGACACTTTAACTATGTTGTAAAAGCCTTTGAAAAATATCCCGTTAAATGTACTTGTATTTCCAAAATGGTTATGATAGTCCCTCACAAAAGCTTTTTTAACTAGCCAATTTGTAATGGGTTAAGAGGAAAGGTCCTCTTGTGGAATAACAGATGAGAATTAAAGGACAACATACATGGCAAGCTCTTGTTATGAAGGGGAGTACTAATGATGCCACTCTGGTTTGGCTCTGGGGGTTTGCACTGTTCGGCATGGTTTTAAGAAATTGTGAAAAGAAAATGAATAAGGAGGGGATAAAACCTGCTGTGTTTTTAAACCTTTGAAAACTGAAGAAAATGAGTTTGTGATACTCAGTGCTTGTATTATTGTAAAATGGCAAGTGATACCAAGTGTTGATAAAAGACAAATTAGAGGAAGAACAACTCTAACTTTATACCTATACAATGCCTAACTTCTGATTAGTTAATTTCCAAAGAAATCTTTTTTGTACCTGAACAACTTTTACTGCTATAATTCCTTGTTAAATTAATTAGGAAAGGTGGTTGTCATTTACTGAGGGGATAAAAGTTACCAGAGGAGTGGTAACTGTGCATCTGCAATGCTGAATGCAGCGCACCACTCTAGCCAAATGAAAGGGGTTTGAAATCAAGTCATGTGGGCTTAGCAATAGGCAGGTGTATTAAGTGAAGTTGGAGCTAACAAGGACTTCTAGTATCTCTAAGGAAAAATGTTTGTAAGTGGCATATATGCTATAGTTCCTAAATGTGGATGATGATACTTGGAGGAAACATTTTTTCAAAGGCTTGCATAGAAATGGGTGCTAAATTGCCACTGAGAGTCAGTAGGATCTGGGTGCTTGTTACTTACTTCTCCCCTTTTTCTCCTGTTCATTGCCAGAGAATTGAACATCTGCTTGAAAACATGTTAAAACTCTTAAATTTCCTGAATTTTGGATGTAAGGGCTTATATATATCCACTGATGTATTTAAATATATTTATCAAGTTGAGGTTGGGTAATTTAGAGTAATTTCTGGTTTTAAAGAAAATTGTTCAACTCTGATTTTTCGTGAAATGTTTTTCAATGTAAAACCTTTCTTGTCAGAAGAGTGAGAGAATGGTTGTTAACTTCTTCCATAAGTAGAAGATTCCAGTGTGCTTTTTTAATATAAATATAAACCTGATTAAAATTATTATTTAGTCCTCATCTTCTAAGGTGTGTAATGCATTTCTCTTCATCTTTTATCTTTGTAGAATTTTCCAGAAAAGGATCTTCTACACTGCCATTCTAAGGATGTGATTGAAGCTCATTTTATGGCTTGTATAAAAGAAGCAGATGCTTTAAAGCACAAAAGTCAAGTCATCAATGAGATGCAAAAAAAGGATCATAAGCAACTGTGGATGGGATTACAGAATGGTAAATACAGTGCATCAAGGATTAAGTATATTTAGGTTTAGCATGCTAATAAATAACTTCTTCAAATTTTAGTCATGGTACAGGATATAAAACGTTACTGTTCTGCAGGATTTTAGTCTAATGTCACAGAAAAGATCCATTTTTTTAAAAAGTCACCATTTGTGTGATGATCCAAATGTGGCTCGAGTTATTCGAGGAACTCAGTTGGGTCATGACTCTGTTTTAATAAATCAAAACTGGCAACAAAACAAAATAAATAGATAAATATTATCTAGTGTACTTCTATGAAACTGGTGATCTTTATTTGGGAGACACCTGGGGTATAAGTGTTGTTCAGTATTGACTATCTTGGACTGTAAAGTAAAAAAGATTGTCTCCTCTAGTTTATGCTCAAGGGTTATCACAGATAAATGTAGGTACGCTTTCAAAAAGATTGCCCAGTGGATTAATGATTTTACTTTTTGCCTCTGCCAAATTTAATTTTTTTATTGCTGATATAACCATGGCTTTTGCAAAGATTTCTGTGTAGATAAGTATTGACTTGAAAAAGTCAGCAAAATAATTGAGAACAGGATGTTCTAAAATAATTAGCATTCTTACTTTGCACAGATGGCATGACTCCATATTGCAGTGCAAAACATAACTTCCTTTGTTTTTAGCGTCTCTTCTTTCTTATCATGGTTCTTAGAGGCCTGTAAGTTGAAAAGCTTTCCAAGTATTTCAGAAACTGCTATCTGGAATGGGTGGTAATGCCACTTCCAATGCATTTTCCTCATCTCCTGAAGCTGTCATATTATTACTGGTAGACTTACTTTATGGAAACTGTAAGCATGAAGTTGTTTATTCTATGTTGAGACACAAAATGCTAAACACTTAGAATTAGCATCTTCCCATATGTTTATAAGGAAAAGTAAATGAAAGCTTTGGGTATAATTGAGGCATGTGTTTGCTTTAGACAATGAAGTTCCAAATTAGTTTGGGTTTAATGTGTGTATTTAATGAGGTGTGGGTTTTCTAATTTTTTTTTTTATTGTTTAGTGATACTGCCTTTCATATTAAAGGTATTCCTGTAATAATTTTGAAGATTAAGTGCTTATTAGAAACTCTGGTTTCTATTTTTTTAATTTAATAGGGGGAGAGTTAGGAATTGAGGTATTATCTTAATTTGCCATTGGAGTGGTAAGATCTTGAGGGATGCAGTACATACCTGCAAAGTTTATCATGTAAGAAATTGCACTTTATTTGGTTCAGTTCAAAATGCTTCGTGACAGATTCTGTTTTGTATAGATACTCGCCAGCAAACTGACTGATAATATATTCACTTTTGTGAATTAGCAGTAAATAGTGTTCTGGTCCACCAGAAGGGAGAACCTGTATAAAACCAGATGCTTCCTTAAAGCTTACGTTGTTACAAGTCAAAACTGCAGTTTTAATAATTCTGTGAAAAAAAGTATTCTGCTGTAATAGTATTTGTCTTTCAAGCAGTTCAGTTTGAGAGGAGCAACATGCTGTGTCAGCATAATTTTGGTTTCTATTTCAAGAATTATTAGCTTTATTGCAAAAAGAAATCCTGTCACTTAGTCACGGTGCTCAAGTGGTCCCAGCAGCGCAGTTTATGTGCTCTTTTTATTAATGCTTTTTAAAATTAAAACTGAAAGACCTCTAACGTGAGTTATGAGTATAATTAGAGGCCTGTAAGTTGAAAAGCTTTCCAAGTATTTCAGAAACTGCTATCTGGAATGGGTGGTAATGCCACTTCCAATGCATTTTCCTCATCTCCTGAAGCTGTCATATTATTACTGGTAGACTTACTTTATGGAAACTGTAAGCATGAAGTTGTTTATTCTATGTTGAGACACAAAATGCTAAACACTTAGAATTAGCATCTTCCCATATGTTTATAAGGAAAAGTAAATGAAAGCTTTGGGTATAATTGAGGCATGTGTTTGCTTTAGACAATGAAGTTCCAAATTAGTTTGGGTTTAATGTGTGTATTTAATGAGGTGTGGGTTTTCTAATTTTTTTTTTATTGTTTAGTGATACTGCCTTTCATATTAAAGGTATTCCTGTAATAATTTTGAAGATTAAGTGCTTATTAGAAACTCTGGTTTCTATTTTTTTAATTTAATAGGGGGAGAGTTAGGAATTGAGGTATTATCTTAATTTGCCATTGGAGTGGTAAGATCTTGAGGGATGCAGTACATACCTGCAAAGTTTATCATGTAAGAAATTGCACTTTATTTGGTTCAGTTCAAAATGCTTCGTGACAGATTCTGTTTTGTATAGATACTCGCCAGCAAACTGACTGATAATATATTCACTTTTGTGAATTAGCAGTAAATAGTGTTCTGGTCCACCAGAAGGGAGAACCTGTATAAAACCAGATGCTTCCTTAAAGCTTACGTTGTTACAAGTCAAAACTGCAGTTTTAATAATTCTGTGAAAAAAAGTATTCTGCTGTAATAGTATTTGTCTTTCAAGCAGTTCAGTTTGAGAGGAGCAACATGCTGTGTCAGCATAATTTTGGTTTCTATTTCAAGAATTATTAGCTTTATTGCAAAAAGAAATCCTGTCACTTAGTCACGGTGCTCAAGTGGTCCCAGCAGCGCAGTTTATGTGCTCTTTTTATTAATGCTTTTTAAAATTAAAACTGAAAGACCTCTAACGTGAGTTATGAGTATAATAAGTTATTCTATAATGGCAGAAGAGTTGTCTACACAATGAAATGGTATGAGTTAAGGTTCTTTTCTTAACCAGAAGTTATAGAACCTCAATACCCACAGTATGTAAGGTAAGAGAACAGATATGCAGTGTGTTCTTTCCGTGCTCATATTAGGCTCTGTCTTTTAGTTGATGATTTGTCC